CCTGCAAAGCTGGCAGGTGACAGTCCAGGTGGAAGCAGAACTCGCATTGGTTGCACATGACTAGGTCTCCTGGCTTCTGGCAGACTCAACAGATGGTGGCGCTGGCATCCAGGGCACCAGGGCCACCAGATGGGGCTGAGGCAGCCTCAGGGGCCACCACCTCCAGGCCTGAGCTGGTGCTGCCACTGGGTGAGGCCAAGCGGGGACCCTCGACTCCAGGGCCCTCAGCAAGGGCCATCAACACAGGCTTGGTCTCAGGTCCTTCAGCAGCTGCAGGGGGAGCTTCAATGGCTGCTTCTGTCTCTTCCTCCTTGACTATGGCTAGGCCAGGTAGGGGAGGAGCTCCAGGGGCCCCCGGGGGAGTGGTTCCAGGCTGGCCAGCAGCGGCAGCCGCTCCACCCCGCTCAATGACAATGAGGTTGTACTCCTCTGTGGTGTTGCCTGGGAAGACCTTGAACACGGGTGGCTGGCTGTCAGCTGTGAGGTCCAGATCCAGGCGCTCCATTGGCTGAGACTGATTTCCAATAAAAAATGGCATTGGAAGATACCGAGCCACGTAATTTTCACTTGCTTCATATTCATGCGAAAGTTGGACACTGAATAAGGAACATCGAAGAAGAATCAATGCATTTGGATTATGGTGAAGAATACTGAATGTACCATGGACTACCAAAAGAACAAACAAATTTGTCTGGCATAAAGTACAACCACAATGCTCCTTAGAAGTGAGGAGACAAGCCTCCATCCCACATACTTTGGACATGCGATGAGGAGTGATCAACCCTGGAAAAGGGCATCATACTTGGTAACGTAGAAGAGCAGTGAAAGAGGAGGATCCTTGACAAGGTGGGTTAACGCAGTGGCTGCAACAATCAACTCAGACATAGAACAACCGTGAGGACAGTGCAGGGCCAGGCAGTGCTTCTTTCTGTTGTTCCTGGGCCGCCACGAATTGGACGGACTCAATGGCACTAACAACAACCGTCAAAACAAACAAACAGCTAAGTGAAGGGTCAGAAATAAGAGAGACAGGCCCCCAAAGCTCTTGAAGTTGAAGAGGTGATATTTAGTGGGGATGAGAATCAAGAGATGTATTTTGGAAGAAGTAAACCAAAAGTCTGCCACTGAAGTGCTCCAAAGTAAAGCGGTTTCTTGGAGGATGAAAGTATGCCTGACCCAAGCCATGGTGTTTTCAAGTCCTTTTATATGCAAGCAAAAACCTGGCAATGAGCTTTTAAAACCCAAGAGGAATGAATCCATTTGAACTCTGGTTGTGAACCGTGAACAGTGAGCATACATACCAGGGCCAGAGAGGGAATAAACTTGTTTTGGAAGAAGTACAGTCAGAATGTTCCTTAAAAGACGCGTGTATCATGTCTAATGGACTTTGGACATATTATCAGGAGAGTCCAGTCTCCAGAGAAGTACGTGACGCTGGGTAGAAATGAGGGAGACTTCAAGGTTATGAACTGACATGTGGACGGCAATGATGGGCACAAGCCCAGCTATGATTAGAGGCTGGTCCCGGCCGGGCCGTGTTCTGTCCCACTGTGTACGGGTTGCTATGAGTCAGAACCGACTCCATGGTGCCTGACAACAGCAATCCAAGCCAAGGGGCGCTGGAGTATAGTGGACACGTCTTGTCCATTTAGCGGCTCGCCTCCCTATCTGGGCATGATGATGGCTAAGTTTGTATATCAGCTTGGCTGGAACGTGATTCTCAGTGCCAGACAGTTCGAATGTAGTCATCCCCCATGAGGAAAACTGGAAAAGGAACCCACTTTTGTGATGACGTCTGCTGCAAACAGCCTGTCAGATGAAAGGGAATTTCCTCGGGGGACCCGCATCTCATCTCTATGGACTTCTGGCATAGCTCTAGCATTGTGCTTGGACTGGATCCTGCCTCTGGCATCTGGCTCATTATTCTCTGACCTCCAGCTCCTTGGACTTGAGCCCGCAGCCTGCCTCGTTGCAAGCTGATCTTGGGTTTGTTGGCCTCTGTCGCCAGATGAGTCAGGAGAAGCCTCCGACTTGGCACCTGACCGAGGGACTTGAGAATTGCCAGCCTCCACAGCCACGAGAGCCGTTTCCTTGAGATAAATTTACTTGCGTTGATTTATAAGCTTCACTGATTTTGGTTCTCGAGAGAATCTTTCCTAAGGTAGTGATTACTCGCCCCTAGCTGTGGTCTTGAACGAAGCATTGGTGGCATAGTGGTTAAAGCACTTGGTGGTTCACCAGAATGTCGGCAGTTTGAACCCACCTGGGAGTAAGACGTGCCAGTCTGCTTCTGTAGCAATTTATCGTCTTGGAAACCTAATCAGGCAATCCTCCTCTTATCTTCTAGGATACCTTGTAAGGTCATATGCGTCAGAGTCTACGGCAATGTATAAGGGTCTCCGGTGGCCTAGTGGGTTATGTGTTAGGCTGCTAATCACAAGATCAGCTGTTTGAAACCACTAGTTGCTCTGCAAGAAAAAGAGGAGGCATTCTGTGCCCATAAAGAGTTACAGTCTCAGAAACCCACAGGGGCAAGTCTTCTCTGTCCCGTAGGGCCACAATGAGTTGGACTCAGCTTAGTGAGAGGGATGGAGACACAGTGTTAAACAATGAGCTGCTAGCTGAAAGGCCAGCCTTTCCAGCCCACCGCTGCTCAGTAGGAGAACGACAGGGCGGTCCACTTCTGTGAAGATGACCGCCTTGGAACCCGTCTCGGACAACCACAGGGTGGTGCACTGTGTGTCAGCACTGACTCGATAGCGAGGGATGTGAGTTCATGGGGTTTGGAAAGGGCCGACGCCCCTTTTAACATTCCCAGAGGCCCGTGGTGTCAGATCCTTCCTTTGCAGCCTCATGAACTAGTCTAAGCCATCACATCCCCAAAGTGTAAGAAAGGAGATGAAAAGAAAAATGGAACTCACTGTCGCTGAGTCATGCCCACTCCCAGCAGTCCTGTCCGAGTGAGCCGAGCAGTCCCCGTGGCTGTCCAAGGCCGCACACCTTAACAGGAGCAGGTCGCCTGCTAGTTCTCCCGTGGAGCAGCAGGTGGTTCTGGTCTGCTGACTTGTGGTTAGCAGTCCCGCAAATCCCCCGCCGCCAGGGCTCCTTGGGAAGATTCCGGGAGGGTGAGGACGCACACACAGGCACAGTGTGTAGGGAGCAACTGGATCAATATTCCTGTTCAAGAATCTGATGTGCTACCAGGCTTGGACTCTGCTTTCTTCCAACCCCAATTTTCTGGTCTCTTAATGGTTCTGTGAACCTCCAGTGCCCTTCTAATGTATTTGTTAAAAACTTCCTCCCCCCCAACCAAGAGTCCTGACTGATTGTTTCCAATGCTAATTTGTGAGCCAGGAAGGGGGGCTGGAGTTCAGCACAGCCTGACGGAGTAAAAAATGGGGTTAGGAGACCTTTTGTTGAACAGGATGTCAATGGCGAACCTGAAAATGAAATAGGACCCATCTGTGATATTTGGATAAATGAACTCTGGTCAGCTGTACCTAAAATAAAACCGAATGAGAAGGGCAGGTCAGATCATCAGGCAAAGAGCCTTTCGTGTGAGTACCGGGAGGTCAGGGTTGGCGGGGTGAGGGGGACCCACAAGTCCCTGACAAAGCATGAAGGGAAGCCACAGCCCCTTGCTGCAACGCTGCTCCTTTAAAAGTGGGTGCTCGGTGGGGGAGGGAGCACTAGAATGGATGGTGATCACACAACTCTTTTAAAAGTGATTTAACCGTGGAAAAAAGAGTGTCGTAAACTTGATTGTGGCAATGGTTTGTACAACTCTTCTTGATGTGATTGAGCTATTGGATGGTGTGATATGTGGATGAAGTGTCAATGAAACAGTTATAAAAAAGTAGGTATCGTCCCCACCCCCCGCCAGTCTGGGGCTTTGGGGCTCGGCTCAAGGGGAGTCCCTCTGGGACATAGGGGTGCAGTGAATGGTGTGACCCTTTGCTGGGCATGCCTACACAGTAGGGTGTGCCGGACACCTCTAGGCTTTCCCGTATGGGCTCCAATACATGTCTTCCCTTGTGCTTAAAAAAAAAAAAAAAAGTAGGTATCAAAGAGAATAGCAGTGTCCTCCGTTATGGGCCCTACGCATCCGGATTTCACCGGTCGGCTCACCCATTCGTCTTTCTAGCATGTCTACATCTGTGTCAAATGCCCACAATACAAGGATTTAGACAGGAGCCTTGCCGAAAGGAAGCCTCCAGACCGCCAGGGCAATAACATGATCGGCACGATCCTGACCACACGTGGAAGTGCTCTGCAGCAACCCACGTCGTGAGGGCACGAGAGCCGGAGAGAGTGAGGCTGTACTGGGTCCTGAAGCGCCACGAGAGACTCAGAGGTGGACACTGGGTGGATCCGGACATGTGGCTAGAGTTGCAGCAGGCAGAGAAATCATTCTGATCAGAAACATTGAGTGTGCAGGGGCTGGAGACCGCTGGGACAGAGACCCCGCAGGACCCCCGCACTCTGGGCTGTGTGTGCAGCGGGGGCCTGACATGATCTGTTTTGATAGACTCCTCACGTGATTGCAATGTGGGCCCGGTTTGAGAACCACGATAGAGTATCGCTATGAGGCATTGACTAATGGGTTATGTGTTCCATTTAATGGCAAGGTCAGTGGTTCAAACCCACCAGCCACGCTCCAATTGACAGATGTGGCAGTCTGCGTCTATAAAGATTTACAGCCTTAGAAACCCTATGTGGCAGTTTTGCGCTGTCCTGTGAGGTCACTATGAGTTGGAATCAACTCAGTAGCAGTGCGTTTTCTTTGTGGTAGATGTGGTTCATACAAGAGGTGATGGTGGACTGGGCGGAGATTATGGCAATGGGCATGAAGCGGGGCAACGGTGGGAGATACTGGGAATACGTCCAGGAGGTTGAATCTAGAGGGCTTAGGGGATGATGAGAAGGGGTGCATGCTGGGGAAGCAGAAAGGGACAAAGGCAGGGTTCAGCCTAGTAGTCAAACTGCTCTCTCTCCTATAGGTGTCTCTAGTGGGCTTCCTGTTCCTTTTGGGCCTCTACATCTCGTCTCTGGCCTCCTGTATGGGGGGGCTCTATGGAGCCCCCCGGATCCTGCAGTGCATTGCCCAGGAGAAAGTGGTTCCTGCACTGGCCTGGTTGGGGAAAGGGGTGAGTGATCCTTATTTTTGAAAAATGTACATTTAGCTGCAGACTGGATTGCTGGTCAAATTTTTGCTGACATGGTTTTTGTTTTAAATTTGCTTAAGTCTTAAACATCAAGTACTCTCTGGTCAGGTTCCTCAGGGCGGGCGAACTGTAGCGTGGCCATTGCTTTGGTAAAAATCAGCGTGGGACCCTGCACGTTGAGCACAGAAGGAAGCCTCTCTCGGTCAGGAGAGAAGCTGGTGCTTGCAACTCAAAGACTTCTCCCAGGATCCCTTCCCCTTGAAGATTCTGTGTAAAGATTCCCCACACCTCTGGGCTCCCTGTGAATCATTATGACCCAAACCGTAAGGGCCAGGCATGGCCCCGATTGCCAAAGGAGACTTTCCTAAAACCTCGGGGAGGACAAGAAATAAGCCCCGAGAGCCGACTTCCTGATGATGTGCTTGGCAAACAGTTCATTTTACTTTCACTGGAGTCCCACGGGCAGCCCTCTAGCCCTTGCCTTCAGGGGGCTCCCATGGTTGCCACCCGTCATGCTTTCCCTGCTCTGCCTTGCTCCACACCTTGCCCGCCGGGCAGCCTGCGCTGAGTGGGGGCACAGCCTCTCAACTCTAGTCCTCCACGTGGCACACACCTTTCCTTTGGCTATATTTCATTTCATTTCAGTTTTGACATTTTGGGGAAATAGGCCCAGGGTTCCAAACTAACAGTCAGAGACGAGGTATAAACGTAGCATGTTTGCTCGCACCATGAGTCTTTCTCCCTTGTGCTATTTTTAACATCTGTCTTTTCATCTGAAGAGAGAACTTTCTCATTCTTTTCCCACTGTGTGTGTAGCATCGTTTAAACATTTCTCTATGGATCGACACTACCAATGTTTAATTGCTACAATGAATAATGTGTGTACATGTATACTTTTGTATATGTGCAGATAGGTATTGGTTACATTGTCATAAGTTTAATATCAATGATTGATGGATCAAAGAGTAAATGCATTTTTAAATTTCACTTATTGTTGCCAAAACATCTTCCATGGGATTTTAATATTTTTTTACTTGGTTAGCAATGTTGAGGAATAAAGGGAGTACCTGCCCTCCCCATAGTCAATTCCACTGTTGTACTGGGGTAAAAAGAGCTCTTGTGTTCTAAGACTCTGGCTCTTAGGGTAAGAAGTTCATGAGGCCCAGGGGATGTGCCCCCTTGCTTCCACACTTGCCCCATGGATGCCATGTTTCAGCGTCCGGGCCTCTGGAATTCCCTGTCCAGGTGGTGCCCAGACCATGTTCCAGACCCTGTCATCCCGAGAGCCAGATGCGGGCTGCAAGTCTCCACAGGTGAGCCTGAGGCCCCCATGGTCTGGCCCGAGAAGCAAAGGCGGCAGGCTGTGGCCACAGGCTGGGCATGCTTCTGGTGCGGAGCGGGCCACTTTCTAAGCTGGGGCGTGGCCTTCCCAGTGATCAGGAAGGTATGCTTCGGCAACCCAGGAAGACAGAACATAGTGGATTTAATAGTTCGCTAGCTTGGTTCATAATTGTAAATATTTAGACATAGGATGTGTGGACCTTCATTCACACCCTGGCCCTAGACCTGACCATCAAGGTTCACAATGAGCCTGCCCATAGCCTGGCCAACTTATTGTGTTGTCAGAACTGAGTTTTCGCCCGCCGTAGCGAGGGAATGGGATCTTCGTTGTGATTTGCTTTGCTCTGGTGAATGAGGCTGACCTCATTCATGCTTCCCTTATGTAAGAGCTTTCACAAACTTCAACCTCTGTGCTGGCTTGCCTTTCTCATTGCAATGGCTAGGAGCTTTGTCTATGTTCGGGAGATCAACTCTTGGCAGAATCTATTACAAATATCTCCCCAGTTTGCTTTGATTTTGAACTTTGCTGGGAACTTCTTTGCACGACATCTGGACATATATATGATGACGATTTAACTCATTTTCTTTGGGGCGGGGTGAGGCCGGGAGAGAAGAAACGTAGAAAATTTTTCGAGAAGTATTCAGTGTACAGAAAAACACAGGAAGC